ACAAGTTCTGTTTCAGTCGCATTTTTAAACTGCATATTGTAATTGTGCAAATTTTCTGTGATCATTGCAGGTCTGATGTCCTTAATTAACAGCAAATGTGGAGGAGCAGGTTTCTCAGGGGGGCGGGCTGTCTCTTGCAGGGGACAGGCTGTATTCCTTGTAAACCCTCTCATCTTCCTCCTTGGAGATATCTATCATTTTACCAGCCCTGCCTCAATCCAGTCCTACAGCGTTCTTTAAGGGCACCAGCTTGGTATTGTTTTGAAAACCGATTAAGACCTGCTTTTGCTTTATATTTCTGCAGAACATTAAGAAAAGATGCTAAGTCTATCATGGATTTCCCTGCCCAGCCCCTCACAGTGACTGATATCAAGCAGTATCTTCGTTCCAAAGATATCCCTTTCTACGATGGCTACAGCTGCTTACATGCTCCTAGTATTTTTATGGAACCAGGACCTGAAGGGTCTGGAAAAGAGAATTACTCACTGTTCATCGATAAAACCACCGGACAGTTTCAGTGTAAGGAGACTTTAGTGGAGGGGAGCTGGGAGGACCTTCAGGATTGTATTGAGGTGATGTTGAATGAGAATCAGACCTCCATCAGTCCTAACGTGCTGCTGGGGTTTCCTGAGAGCATGGAGGAGCAAGAAGAAAGAGAGATGGAGATGAAGGAGGTGCAAAGAATATGGAGCAGCTCTGTGCCGTTTTCCGACCTACTGGATGAGGAAGTGCAGCTCATTAAAACCATGTTTCTGATTGGTAAACTCACCAATGCCACACTGAAAAAATTTGGGGTCAGGTTCTTCAAGCCCACCAAGAGTTTGGTGTTCCCCTGGTTTAGTGCACATGACTCGGGCCTCCGGGGTGTTAAGCTGCTTTCCGCTGCCGTGAAAGGTGACGGACAGGTGGTCTACACTGAAGCTACGGTTCCAAAAATCTCCAGCTACCACAACCTCTTCGGCCTGCCTTTGATCGGACGAAAGGACGGTGAGGTTGTGCTCACGGGACGTGAGATAGACAGCATGGCAGTGAGTCAGGCTACCGGTCTTCCGTCTTTGGCCTTGCCACGGGGTGTAAGCTGTCTGCCTCCGATCCTCCTGCCTTATCTGGAGCAATTCAAGAAAGTCACACTGTGGCTGGGGGGAGATATGCGCTCCTGGGAAGCCTCAAAAATATTCTCCAGGAAACTTGGACTGAAGCGCTGTTCTCTTATCCGGCCAGGGGACTTTCAGCCGTGCCCCAGTGAGGCACTGGCCCAGGGCAGGAACTTGCCACGAATTGTCAAGGCTTCAATCCCTGCTGCCCACAAGTCCATTGTGTCCTTCAAGCAGCTCAGGGAGGATGTGTATGGGGAACTGGCTAATGTGGAGCAGGTGGCTGGAATACAATGGTCTCGATTCCCTGAGCTTAATCGTATCCTTAAAGGTCATCGCAAGGGGGAGCTGACAGTTTTAACAGGTATAGCCAACACAGCTATATAGAGCAGAATTTATTCAAAAAGAAAAACTGAAATATCACATGGGGGTCTGAATACTTTCCGTACCCACTGTATATACCGTATAGCATTGTTTTTATTAATTGCATTCTGTGATATGTTAAATAAAAATATAAATCTTAAATAATAATACAAATAATATTAAAATAGTAATAATAAAAATATTATTATATAATGTGCATAAATATTAAATAGAATAGAATAGAATAGAATATTTGTATTTCTTCTCATGGCATGTGTTTGTAAATACAGGTCCAACAGGCAGTGGAAAGACCACCTTCATCAGTGAGTTTGCCCTAGATCTGTGCATGCAGGGTGTCAACACATTATGGGGCAGCTTTGAAATCAACAATGTGCGTCTGGCCAAAATTATGCTGACCCAGTTTGCCAAGCAAAGGCTGGAGGAGAACCTGGATCAATATGACATGTGGGCTGACAAGTTTGAGGACCTGCCACTCTACTTTATGACCTTCCATGGACAGCAGAACATCAAGTAAATCATTGCCATTCCTTTTATACAATCTAATAAATAGTTTGATTGTAAATAGATACTGTATTGCAAGCATGGCTCTGTGATTTGTTTTTATGTATGGCTTTTTTTTTTTTTCTTTTTTTTTTTTTTACTTTAAAAAAATATTGGAATGATTTTTTTATATTTTACTTAAGGAGAGGACCAGGTTTTTCTCATGATCTTTAAATATGAACTGCACTTTTGCACCTTTGATCAAACAAATGCTGCCTTGGTGAGCAGGAGGGGTGTGTTTTTTTTTTTTTTTTTTTTTTTTTTTTACTTTAAAAAAATATTGGAATGATTTTTTTATATTTTACTTAAGGAGAGGACCAGGTTTTTCTCATGATTTTTAAATATGAACTGCACTTTTGCACCCTGCACAGGACTGTTTTGGATACCATGCAGCATGCCGTTTACCTGTATGACATCAGTCATGTGATCATTGACAACCTGCAGTTTATGATGGGCCAAGAGAACCTGTCTGTGGACAAGTAAGGCAACAGTTTTAATATGCTATTTATTTAAAAGAGTTTCTATGGTCCTGAAAAACCTGGAGGTATTGGATATTTTCAAAACTGTGATTTCCAGGATTGGAAAAGTATAAAATCTTGAATAGTCATGGAAATTCTGTAGTCAATAATTATTTTTCTAGTAATTCTCAGTTATTATTGTTTGTGAGATATAGTCAGATTACTATAAAAAGATTTCTTGAAAAGTAATCTTATCTATCTATATATATAGAGAGAGAGAGAGAGAGAGAGAGAGAGAGAGAACTGGATAACCGAATGTTTTACAATTAAAAAATTATTATTAATATATTTTTTTCCCTCAGGTTTGCTGTACAAGACCACATCATTGGAGCCTTCAGGAAGTTTGCCACAAACAGCTGCTGTCATGTGACTTTAATTATCCACCCTCGGAAAGAAGAGGATGATAAAGAACTGCAGACAGCATCCATCTTTGGCACAGCCAAGGTTGGTAGATACAGGCTGTGTCCACGTTTATTCCTCAGCTGTTAATTTGAGATACAAATTTTCACATGTACATGCTTAGTTTCTATCTATAAGAACATCGAATGTATCTACTATAAAAAGTCTATAATGCATCATTTCCCCATATCAGGCCAGTCAGGAGGCAGATAATGTGCTCATCCTTCAGGAGAAGAAGTTGGTGACGTGTCCAGGCCGGAGGTCCCTTCAGGTGGCCAAGAACCGCTTTGATGGGGACGTGGGGATCTTTCCTTTAGAATTTAATAAAGCCTCGCTTACCTTCTCCGCGCTTGTGAAGGGAAAGCAGAAGCTTCGTAAGGTGAAAGTGGACAAGAATAACAGCACAGAGGAAATAGAGGAGACAGAACTCAAAGAAAAAAGTGAGAAAGCTCCCAAGCCTGCCAAAGCCAAGACCTCAAAGACAGTTAAGGGGTCAGCAGCGTTAAAAAATACCACAGATGGAGAAGGAAAGGATCAGTAGCTCAGGGAATTCATTAATTGTATGAATTCAAATAAAATGATTAAAGGGGTCATATGATGCGATTTAAATTTTTTCTTTCTCTTTGGAGTGTTACAAGCTCTTGGTGCATAAAGAAGATCTGTAAAGTTGCAAAGACTAAAGTCTCAAATCCAAAGAGATATTCTTTATCAAAGTTAAGAGTCAACCACGCCTACCTAAAACGGCTCGTTCTAACACGCCCCCACATGTCTACGTCACGATGTGGGAAGATTTGCATAACACCACCCAAATGTTCACTCAAAGAAAGAAGGCGTAACTTTGATTCTTGCTGTAGTATTGTTGCTGCCGCCGCCGCCATGTCGTGAAGGCACTGTGTGTTTCGTTGTGAAAGTGAAACTACTTTGTTTGGAAAAAATACACAAAATAATGTTCTTTTTAGCAACATCATATGACCCCTTTAAACAGATTTCCCTACACATGTTCATTGTAGAAAGGTATTCAAGTAATTTTTCATATAAATAGCATTTTTAATACAATTTTGAAAATGTTATGGTGTTTGCTGCATTTTTGCTACTGAGTAAATGTTACTGAATGAATGTTCATGTTAAGTATTTTTAGATGATCTTGTTGAGAGTTGTATGCAAAGTTTTGTACATCCACTTATGTTGTATATGCACTTAAATCCAACATATTATTTTTGTTTTCAAAAGTTTTTACCAAATCAGTTATGAACAAGCATTTGATGACAGGACCCTAAAACTTCATTTGTAGAGATCCTGCATCATTTACACATTTCATCAATGTATCTACATTTTATGGATTATGTCCAAAAATTAAATGCGATTTGTTTCTGTTTGATTGTCATTGTTACTGTAGTGTCAAATAAGCTATTTAAAGGAGGCTGTGAAAAGTGTTAATAAATTACTTTGTAGGATTTGTATCTTCTGTGTATTTTGATTTCTGACACAATTTTATGTTTTTAAACTATTGAATTTGTCTGCTTTAATATACTTTATATAATACTAAAGTCGAATGAATAGCAATTACACATGGGAATAAAGTCCATAGATCCAAATAATTTAGTCTAGCACTTACAATTTACACTGGGTTTGTATTTCCCACAGGCATTTAGCCACCCAAAATGGTTAAATAGTTAAAAAAAAAAATATGTGTGTGTGTGTACAGTACAGAAAATTGTTATTAATTATTAAAAACTTATTTAATTTATAAATATTAGTGACTTGACTACAATTATATCAATTTAATATGAAAGTCTAATACAATAAAAATAAATATTTTATTTATAAATGTATATTATCAAAACATCACCCTCTCTGCATGTCTTAAAACGGAGCTTTCCTAATATACTGATGCTATGCCTTAACATTTTCCTAATATACTGACGCTTTAAAATAACTTTCTCAGACCATTTACTATTTCAAACAATGTTTAAAAAAAAAAGATTTATAACCACGCCTTGACACACTGCAGCGTGATGAGAAACGTGTCATATGACTTTTAGCACCAATCAGGACTCTTGTATTTGTAGGAAGTATCTGAGCCTGAACTGCTGGTTTCTGTTCCTTTACATAAACTCTATGGATTAAAGCAATTTTATTCAACTTTTTTGTTTATTGACCGCTATAAATGAGTTGCTCGGTGATTTAAGCTGCATGTCTGCAACTACTGGAAATCTGTCGAACACTTAGAATTACTTTTTTGTGAAGTAACTGCAATATTGCGACACAATGGCCAACATTTGTCCAATTAAAAATGTTGCAGATTTAGTTTCTGAAGCTCGTCGTGTGTACCGGGACACGTTTGACGGGGACCATGCAAATGTTGCAGTTTGTGCTCCGGGCCGTGTGAATTTAATCGGAGAACACACAGATTATAATGAAGGATTTGTCCTCCCAATGGTAATGACACTGTTTTGACACTATTAAATCCCATTACGGTAAGATTTAAAAAAGTATAAATATGTTGTGAAATATGTAATATATTTTTTGTGTGTTCATATACGATTCTTTTGATGTGAAGTAGCGAACGATTCATTCGTTTGAATCGAATCTTAGAAATGAATCAGTTGAAACGATTCTTTTGACGTGAAGTAGCGAACGATTCATTCGTTTGAATCGAATCTTAGAAATGAATCAGTTGAAACGATTCTTTTGACGTGAAGTAGCGAACGATTCATTCGTTTGAATCGAAACTTAGCACTTATGTTGTATATGCACTTAAATCCAACATATTATTTTTGTTTTCAAAAGTTTTTACCAAATCAGTTATGAACAAGCATTTGATGACAGGACCCTAAAACTTCATTTGTAGAGATCCTGCATCATTTACACATTTCATCAATGTATCTACATTTTATGGATTATGTCCAAAAATTAAATGCGATTTGTTTCTGTTTGATTGTCATTGTTACTGTAGTGTCAAATAAGCTATTTAAAGGAGGCTGTGAAAAGTGTTAATAAATTACTTTGTAGGATTTGTATCTTCTGTGTATTTTGATTTCTGACACAATTTTATGTTTTTAAACTATTGAATTTGTCTGCTTTAATATACTTTATATAATACTAAAGTCGAATGAATAGCAATTACACATGGGAATAAAGTCCATAGATCCAAATAATTTAGTCTAGCACTTACAATTTACACTGGGTTTGTATTTCCCACAGACATTTAGCCACCCAAAATGGTTAAATAGTTTAAAAAAAAAATATGTGTGTGTGTGTACAGTACAGAAAATTGTTATTAATTATTAAAAACTTATTTAATTTATAAATATTAGTGACTTGACTACAATTATATCAATTTAATATGAAAGTCTAATACAATAAAAATAAATATTTTATTTATAAATGTATATTATCAAAACATCACCCTCTCTGCATGTCTTAAAACGGAGCTTTCCTAATATACTGATGCTATGCCTTAACATTTTCCTAATATACTGACGCTTTAAAATAACTTTCTCAGACCATTTACTATTTCAAACAATGTTTAAAAAAAAAAGATTTATAACCACGCCTTGACACACTGCAGCGTGATGAGAAACGTGTCATATGACTTTTAGCACCAATCAGGACTCTTGTATTTGTAGGAAGTATCTGAGCCTGAACTGCTGGTTTCTGTTCCTTTACATAAACTCTATGGATTAAAGCAATTTTATTCAACTTTTTTGTTTATTGACCGCTATAAATGAGTTGCTCGGTGATTTAAGCTGCATGTCTGCAACTACTGGAAATCTGTCGAACACTTAGAATTACTTTTTTGTGAAGTAACTGCAATATTGCGACACAATGGCCAACATTTGTCCAATTAAAAATGTTGCAGATTTAGTTTCTGAAGCTCGTCGTGTGTACCGGGACACGTTTGACGGGGACCATGCAAATGTTGCAGTTTGTGCTCCGGGCCGTGTGAATTTAATCGGAGAACACACAGATTATAATGAAGGATTTGTCCTCCCAATGGTAATGACACTGTTTTGACACTATTAAATCCCATTACGGTAAGATTTAAAAAAAGTATAAATATGTTGTGAAATATGTAATATATTTTTTGTGTGTTCATATACGATTCTTTTGACGTGAAGTAGCGAACGATTCATTCGTTTGAATCGAATCTTAGAAATGAATCAGTTGAAACGATTCTTTTGACGTGAAGTAGCGAACGATTCATTCGTTTGAATCGAAACTTAGAAATGAATCAGTTGAAACGATTCACAAAACAGGTCTAAACAATTTCTTCACGAATTGGATTAACTGATGCGTTCAGTTCTCGAGTCAGTAACTCATTTTTGAACCGATAATAGACGAGTATAAGGAATGTTGCTAAAACTTACAGGAACTATTTTTTACGACTTATCAACACCCGCACACAATTGAAAAAGCTGGTTTTAAAAATAGCATTTTATTGAAACATGAAGCTTTTTTTTTTAGTCAAGATAATTTTAATATTCTATAGTGTAAAGGAAAATTATGATGATGTTATATTTAGGTTAAGTCATACTTTTTGGAATTTTTGATGAAGTTATTACGTCATGGCATAATATAAACTGCATTGTTATTATTTTGATCCAGTAATTTGAATCAGACTGTTCGAAAGAACCGATTCCTGTAAATGAATCAGCCTTACCTGCACTAATGCAAAGTGACCCAGTGTTACGTCCATATGCAAAATACTATAACCTGTAGAGCGGATATCTGAACAATGGAAATGATGGATTGTCCTTTCACATCCTTGATGATATTTTCTACTGTAGAGAGAGATAGTAGACGTGGCCAACAGTAATGCAAATGTGGCTAACACACGCCCATCTCTCCTTATATATAGAAATGAATGATAGGAACAAACAAGGTTTCTTCTCAAATCAAAACACACTGCAATTATGCACTGACAATCTGTTATATTGTTTGTTTGAATGATTGCAGGCCTTGCCGATGGTGACAGTTATAGTGGGCAGCAAAATTTCTGGCCAGAAGTGCTGTGTTGTAACTCTGACTGAAGCTGCCGATGAGCCCAGGGTGGTGGACTTTGATCTCCCAAATGAACTGACCCCACTTTTAAGAGGGCAGCCAAACTGGGCCAATTATGTAAAGGGAGTTGTACAGCACTACAGAGGTAATCTTTTGCTATAATTTTTGCCTATATGGCAAAAAAGGGAAGTAATGAGGAAGTGTACATTTAGTCTGCCTCTAGCACGAAATGGGACCCTAGGGACCCATGCTGAGAACTCGTCTTTGGACTAACTGTTTAATGCAGAGTTTCCAAAAACCATACTTGCAACACTTACAGAATAGTTGCTGAGCACATGTTCACTGTTGTCTTACTCTAAAAGTGAATATAGCTTGAATATATACTTCAAATGGAGTACATATTAATCTCATGCATTTATTAGCTTTCACAAATGGCCATGTCTTTGCACAGCACGTCCCATCCCTGGCTTCAGAGCTGTAATAGCCAGTAGTGTGCCACTAGGAGGCGGACTCTCCAGCTCTGCTTCACTGGAAGTGGCTGTGTACACCTTCTTGCAGCAGTTGTGTCCAGGTAAGATCTTTGTCTGTCTGTCACGCATAACAATTACAGAAGTAAAAATCCCATTCGTTTTTTTTCCATATAGTATTTGCTTTACTGATAACATGTAAAGCGTTCAGGACAGAACTACAATGATCTTTGAGGTTGTTATTTGATGGGTTATGAAGCTTTACAACTTCCAAAAAGTGTGTTGAATTTCCAGTAAAGAACTACACTGCCCATATTGCTAGAAGTTGCTGTCACCATGGAAACCTTTTTTCTTCTTCTTCTAAATTTTTTCCCTTCAATACTTTTTTTTTAAAGGTTATAACGTTGTGATTCATTTCAGAGCTGTTTGATTTGGTTCATGGCTAAATATGTTCCCTACAGAGAAAATAAATGGGAAAAGTACTTACAGAACAGCAATAAAGAGTATTATAACTGCATAAACAAATAATCCATTGCTTACTTATTTAGTAATCTCTTAAACATATGTTGTATCATTTTGATTTTTTTTTAATGTTTAAAATGATTTTTGTATTATTGCTTGGATTTTTTTATTTTATTTAAATAAAGCAATGTCAAATAAAACATTTATTATTATAAATATTATATACACTACTGTTCAAATATTTGAGGTCATTAAGATTTTCTCAAATAAATTAATACTTTTATTGAGCAAGGATACATTGAAACAATCGAAAGTGACAGTAAAGAGTCATAATGTTGCAAGATGTTAATTTCAAATAAATGTTGTTCTTTTGAACTTTATATTATCAAAGAATCCTCAAAAAATGTATCACAATTTCCACAAAAATATGAAGCAGCACAACTGGTTTTCATGAGTAATGATGGCTAAAATTTCAGCTTTGCCATCACAGAAATACATTTTAAAGCATATTAAAATAGAAAACAGTTATTTAAAATTTAGCAACTTTCTGTAAATTTGTAATTTCACAATATTACTGTTTCACTAAATTTTTATCAAATAAATGCAGTCTTGTTGACCAAAAAAAGACTTCTTTCAAAAACATATACATTTTAAAGCATATTAAAATAGAAAACAGTTATTTAAAATTGAGCAACTTTCTGTAAATTTGTAATTTCACAATATTACTGTTTCACTAAATTTTTATCAAATAAATGCAGTCTTGTTGACCAAAAAAAGACTTCTTTCAAAAACATAAAAAAAATCTTACCAACATTAATCTTTTGAACAGTGCATAAAGATATGTATAGTGGTTAATAGTTTCATGGGCTTCATGTTTTCTGGCCCTCCACAGATGATGGGGATCAGGTAGCGAAGGCAGTGGCCTGTCAGCAGGCTGAACACACTCATGCTGCTGTGCCCTGTGGCATCATGGACCAGTTTGTGTCCGTTTTGGGTAAAGAGGGCCATGCTTTGCTCATTGACTGCAGGTAAGTAGATTTGCCAATTCAAACTCTCCTGTCAGATTAGAAATAATCAGTCATTTATATGCAAATATAATATCAAAACAGCTATTAATAAAATGAAATGTAATCTTTTCAGGTCTTTGGAGGCCACCGCTGTCCCTTTGGCTGACCCTGGACTTGTAATCCTGATCACAAATTCCAACGTTAGACATTCTCTCACAGGAAGCGAGTATCCCACCAGACGAAAACAATGTGAGGAGGCAGCAGCCGTTTTGAGCAAGAAAAGTCTAAGAGAGGCTACTTTACAAGATTTAGAGGGTAAGAAGAAAAGAAAGATTTTGAACAGACACCATAATGTATGTCTTTAATCGAGGTCATTTCATAAAATGTTAAAATCTGAATTTAGCTGCCAAGGATCGATTGGATGGTGTGACATACCGTCGCGCACGTCATGTGATCGAGGAGATTGAACGCACAGCGCAAGCTGCCGAGGCACTGAAGAGAGGGGATTACAAGGAGTTTGGGAGGCTGATGGTGGAGAGCCACAATTCTCTTAGGTAAACATCTATAATCGAAGCAAGATTATCATGTTGGAAGACTTACAGAAGTCAATTCCTTTTAAACATCCCAGGATTAGAAGTGCTTTTCAGTGACTGAAATGTTGTTTGCTTAACCCATTTATTGAATAGGTGGAGTTAACTGTCAGTTAAATGGCTTTTAATTATGCATTCTTTGACTGGGGTTAATATTGTTTGTCTTAGGGATAATTACGAGGTCAGCTGTCCAGAATTGGATGAGCTGGTGGCGGCAGCACTGGAGGTGGATGGAGTGTTCGGGAGTCGGATGACAGGGGGAGGGTTCGGTGGATGCACGGTTACTTTGCTTCAGGCTCATGCCATGGAGAGAGCAGTCAAACACATACAGGTTTTTACAAGTTTAAGATGCTCTGTGTATACAGTATCTCACAGAAGTGAGTACACCCCTCACATTTTTGTAAATATTTTATTATATATTTTCATGTGACAACACTGAAGAAATTACACTTTGCTACAATGTAAAGTAGTGAGTTGTATAACAGTGTAAATTTGCTGTCTCCTCAAAATAACTCACGGCCATTAATGTCTAAACCGCTGGCCACAAAAGTGAGTGCACCCCTAAGTGAAAATGTTCAAATTGGTTATTTGGAATATTATAAAATATTTTAAATGTATAAAATATTTACAAAAATGTGAGGGGTGTACTCACTTCTGTGAGATACTGTATGTGTTTGACAATTCCATCTAAAGAAAAGTCTGAATTGAGTATTCTGGGTGTTTTAGTCTTTTTCCTCATATTGTCTATGAATTAATCTAACAAGCATTAAACAGGAATTCAGGCCAAGATAATAATAATTTTCTGTTTCCCTACAGGAGAAATATCATGGATCTCCAACTTTCTTCATAACTACCCCATCAGAAGGAGCTCATGCTCTCAGTCTATGATTTTAAACCAGTGCTAAACCAGTGATTTTTCTTTCAAATAATTTGAAATTTACTGTGATCTACATTTTTATAAGAGTGAAAATTTTAAGGGGGTCTGAATACTTTCCGTACCCACTGTATATATATATAACATTTTCAATAAAGAGGATTTATGTAGGCTAATAAAGGAGTTGTTCGCTTTTATTGACTTAATTGATGGTGATAATGATGTTTATATACAATAAGCATAAGTATAGCATACACATAGCAAGTACATAAATGTGTGTGTACTTAATATAAAAATGTGAACATGGAGAGTGTTTTATGATTACATACAGTGTTCAGTAAGCATAAGTTTAGCAAGTATATATAAATAAGTGTGTGTACTTAATATAAACAATGACATTTCCAAAATAAAAATATTGAAATTTCAAAATGTTTTGCATTGTAAAGATGAAGAATGTATTATAACATTTTATTTAAACTTTTTTTGTAATTCCCTTTATTCTCAGTGGTGACTTATTTACATATTTTTAAGGCAGTATATATGTAATTCTACTCAGCTGTTTCAACATAATAATTATAAATGTTTTTGAGCATCAAATCAGAATATTAGAATGACTTTTGAAGGATCATGTGACTGGAATAATGATGCTAAAAATTCAGCTTTGAAATTACAGGAATAAATTACATTTTAAAATATATTCAAATAGAAAACATTTATTTGAAATAGTAAAAATATTTCGTTTTTGCTGTACTTTGGATCAAATAAATGCAGGCTTGGCGAGCAGAAGAGACGTCTTTAAAAAACATTAAAAACTTAACTGTTCAAAAACTTTTGATTGGTAGTGTATATATATAACAACACTTGATATAACGTATATATAATGTGTGTGGAGCTCAAGTGTTAAAATACGCTTAATCGGCATTTTCTAATGTTTGTTCAGTGTGAGCGCCCCCTGCTGGCCGCACTATAAATTGTCCCGGAAGGCGTTTGCTCAGGGAGGAGCCAGAGCGCAAATCGGCAGCAAGCGCAGCAGGAAACACTTCACTGATAATCCTCAAACACTGTCCATACACAGACCTCGAAGCCGTGGGAAATACAATTCGAGCCTGCTCTTCTTCACCGCCCGGTGTGGTTTTCCTCTTCACCTCAGGATAATTGAGCAAACCCGCTTGAATCGTGGACAGTGCCGGGACATCGGGCCGCGGTGAATCAGGTGAGTCCTGCCCGGGCCCGTCGACTGCTGCCCGGCCACAGGTGTTTCCACTCACCGACTCTGTGGATGTGTCTCAAAACGTACTGAGCTGTCTAGATAGCGAGCAAACGAATATTCATATAATACCTACAAATGCTGTCTAGCTAGGAAGCTCACTTAGAGTTGAGACAGACAGTGAATTCTAACTTTACAGCTCTGTATGAACTTAACATATGTTTTTGTAATGGGGTACAAGCTGTCTGTTTGCAGATTAATCTGTTGTTTAATCTCTTCTTTTGAATTCTGAGTGTTGTCCAGCTAACTAACGAATAACGTTCAGTCTAAAACGAAACTAACACCTAGTCCTGACCTTGTTCTCCACTGTTGCCCGCACTATCAGTAAACTACACCTTTCTGAATGAGAGAACAGAGAACGTATTGTTGGTTACTTCGATCGGCGACTGTAAAGCCGATATCTGTCTCCTACTGTGAACATATACGGTCTCATACTGGTACTTTCAGTTTGCACAAGTGTTTCAATGGCATTAAACTTATTTATTTTGTTGGTTGCACCTAAAAAGGTGTTCCACTTTGTCCACATAGAGACTCGGATGTCAAATTGAATCTAAGTATGCTAGATATGTATGTATGTATGTGTGTGTGTGTGTGTAGTAGATATCAACCGATATTGCTTTTCTTTTTGGCTGATACAACTCTGATAACTGATTTAACAAACCAATTTAAAATCATAAATAATTTTTTAATTAGTTTTTGACACAAGAACTAATCTATGTATAAACAAACACATACACAGTTTATAAATGCTCCAAAAAATCATTTTATGATCTATGCCTGGGGCTGTCCAATTGTTAAACTAAGTTACTTGACCTATAAATATCATTTTGGACCTGCCAAATGGTTCTATTATCAGTAGTTCGGACCATAAAGAACCAGTTAAGTTATTAAAAGTTGTGGATATTTGCTAGAATACATGATTATTGTTTTTTTTATTTCAGATCAGAGACTATAGTGTTGCTCCTGGCTTCGAGTGTAAAGTTAAAGTGCTTTGGTAAGGACTGGGGAATTGGTTGTCCTTGGCATTGATTGGTGAATGGCTGTCCCACCGGTCTGACAGGTTGAGAATCGAGAATGATAAAGCCTCCGCCTTTTAGACTCATGTTGCTTCACACTTAGCCAATAGCCAAGTTCAGGATATGTTTCTCTGGTTTGTAAAGCGACTAAATTTGAGTCATTAGCCTTCATAGTTAATTTGTGGATTAAATGTGTTGTTGCAGACTTCGGCTAACAGTTGTGCCGCAGACAATAGCATGATTAGGACTGTTGGCATAAAGTGTAATTAATCTTGGGTCATTTAATTCAGAAGTCTCCTGTAATGTATGGCCGGATTGAGCTTTGCCCCTGTGGAGAGCCAATGCAAAGTACTTGTACAGTGTGATCTCAGATAGCACATTTAAAATTGTGTTAATGTACGTGACAAACTAGACTTTGTTTCAAATCCGTCATGCTTGTTTACACAAGGATTGACTTGAAGTACATGTCAGACTCAGAGAAGGATGTTTTTGTGAAACACAATGTCCAAAAAAACCCACATTTTAATCTATCGGGATGTCTTTAAATTGTTGCCAAAAAAAGTCAGGTATGCATACACTACCATTTAAAAGTATGGGGTCAGTATGATTTTTTTTATTCAAAAATGTATTAAGGAGCAAGGATGCATCCATTACAGGAATAAATGACTTTTTAAAACTTTTTAATCATTTTAAATTGAAATTATTTCACAATATTACAGTTTTCATCAAATAAATGGAGCCTTGATGAGCATAGGAGGCTTCATTCAAAAACAAAAAATTTACCGTCCCTGAATTTTTTAACATTAGTCTATGAATTGCCTTGTTTGACACCTGTTTGCTTCAAAGGCAATGCAGCTAGGTTGCCCTATTGAGGCTATGGTTTTATAAGAACACATGTTCTTGCTGGTTCGCATGTCTATCATTTCATATTTTTTTCGTCTCTGAGGTCCAGGGAAGTTGAACTTGTTGCCATCAGTTAATGAAGAGCTGCAGATAGACGATGACCGTTTACAGAAGAAGTTTGTAGGTGTGGTGGCACTCCGTCTCAGTATTTACCTTTTATTAGATGTCCCGTATCAACTGCAGCTAGTTGGTTACCATTCTGATGTGTCAGTTTGAGACGTTTGGGTGTAAATGTGGTTTTTACGCATCACTTCATGGCCCTTCTCAGAGAAGACAGGAAAGGCTTGAGTCTGGGGACTGACATCCTGTGGTGGGACACACCCCACAGCCATAGACAAGATCTTATTTTTAAATTTTCACAGAGAGGAAGAGAAGGTAAACAAAAGCTTCTCACTTCCACAGCAACAAACGGTTAGCGTGGGTGATAGCATGTAGGGAGAGATCCGCTTTACAATGACCAGTAAGAATGAGAGGAAGTTCATCCAACACTTCCTCATCCTCTCCAGCTGTTCTTTTTTTAAGCACTATGAACTTTTGTCTGCTGGTTGTCTGACTGGGATGGACAGTTTTGTTCTGTTATTTTTTGGTTTTTAATGTTGGCGTCATTTTTGTACAGGTATTCTGCTGCATAAAATTCAGCTATATTTGCAAATAAATGTAAAAACTAACAAAATACTTTAGTTTTAAATATTGTTAATAAAGCCGAAATATATTTTTGTCATGTTTTTACTGTATTTTGATCAAATAAATGCAGCCTTGGTGGAAAAAAAGAGACTTAAAAAAAATCCTAACAACCCAATCTTTTGAACAGTAATGTACATTTTTCCAAATGTAAAATGTGTTTGAAATAAAATGGAAAAGTGCATATTTGAACTACAGCAGAACAATTCTTATTATTTAGCCCTGATTCATGAGTGTCAATGTTTATTTAAAAGAAAGAACCCGCTGACTTGTGGTATCCTAAAATAAAGATCTTTCCAATACTATGCTCTCTCTATCTGTTTCGTCATCTCGTGGCGGTTGAACTGGTTTTCCTTGTGTTTGCATGGTGTTTTCTCCCTTATTCAGGGTGTGGCTGATGATTATTTCAGAGCTTGACCTATTTGTACTTGACTGCCTTTCTCTTGACCTCAAATATCATTTAGTTGTTTCTTTAGTGCCCTTTTACCCATATTGAGTCTAAAAATGGAATATGCAGTTCCTCGATTTCCCAGAATGATCGGCATGACATATTTAACGTGCTGTATGAAACCAGGTTATGCAGCTGAGGGACAACGTCTGTGGTGAGAGTACACTGACAGTTCCACGCTCATGTCAGGGCAGGTTTTCCACTCTTGCCTTCTCCTCTGATCTTTGTTTCCTGTGGGATGCTATGCTGAGAATGTAGTGATGTCACTAGTGATACGTTAACAGGGACAGTTTGCTGTCAAACTGACTGTTTAGATGAATTTGAAGTATTTCAGGTATGAAAGACAGAAAGCAGAAAGCAATTTTTATAGATTTGGTGTTCTTGCTGAGGCAGCACAATTAGTATTGTTCATAGTTTGCAATCAGAATTTTTACCTGCAAATGATAATACAGGTGAAAAATTCCTTTATATTTATATTATTTGTTTGTGTGTGTGTATGTATGTATGTATGCATGTATGTATATTATTTGTGTGTGTGTGTGTGTATGTATATATGTGTATATTATGTGTATATGTGTATATATATGTGTGTATATATATATATATATACATACATACATACTCACATGGTTGTATTTATTTGATCACAAATACAATAAAAACAGTAATATAGTGTGTGTGAAATATTATCATAATATAAAGTAATAGTTTTTTTATTCCTGTGATGGAAAAAGCTGTTATTTATTACTCAAGAGTCACATGATCCTTTAGAAATTATTCTAATAATAGGAAACACAGTTGTGCTGCTTAAAGTTTTTTCTTTGTCAGTTGTGCTGCATTTTTTTTCAGGATTCTTTGATACAATAGAAAATTCAAAAGAACATTTATTTTATAATTTAAAAGTCTTTACTGTCAATTTTGATCAATTTGATGCATGCTTGCTGAATAAAATCAAATCTTAACTTTTTTTTTGTCCTCGCTTGTCTGAATATTCATTTTTTAAAGCCGTTTTCATTTCGGTTTCAATGTCTTTGAGTTTAGGTTTTAGCTGCAGGTCTGTTGTTGTGAGCTCTTGTCCTCTTATTGTTTTTTAACAGAGGCTTCTGTGTGATGGAGTGAAATCATGGAGAAGAGGAACCTGCTCCGCTGAAACTGGCCATCAGAAACTGAAGCTTTAACACCTGAATTGTTGCTTCTCTATTTAGCGATTGCTTTGTGCAACCAGTAATAGAAGTAGGCTACAGTAGTAGCACATGTAGTTGCCTCCTGTAATAACAGTCGTCGAGTTGGGTGGGACGTTTTGGTTCTGACAGCGTGGCTCAGTTTGTGTTGTGCTGTGTCATGAAATGAGAGAGTGTTGTTGGTCTCGAGTTTACTGTGGGCTTGCACAGGCTGTTTAAACTAAAAAGCAGTTGACCTCTCCTGACCATTGGGTGCTATTTTTTGGCTGCTGTCCTGAGGGTATGAGGCCGAGTCCTGGCTAGTAACACTTCAACGAGTTAGTGGTCAAACATTTTGACGTGTTTGCGTAATGTGATGTCACCCCTCACCATGACCTTAAACAGAGGAATCTCTTAAGCATCGATTCTTCAGCAGTATCACTGTTTACTGCAGGGCTTTCAGAACTGGTTCTCTAAAAAAAAAAAACTTTTGTAAATTAGCTTTCTGACAACCATACAAGGACCTAAATTTTGTAAAAAAAAAAATTAGCTCCTTGTATGGTGTGCCCCCAAACTCATCATGTATAGGACTGGGTATTACTTGTCCCACACTTTTTTGTGCTTGTCTTGTTACTCAACTTTAGAAAAGCACAAAAAAAACCTTTCCTTTCTACTCAATTGTAATTATTATTTTCACCTGACTGATGATGAAACTGGTCCTTAAAATCTCTTGCACCTGCTATTGGTGAGATCTTCCTTAAATTGGTATGTATTGGGATGTAGTAACTATTACCTTTCTGTGAAATAATATAAAGTTTCAATTTCTAATTATTTTGATATAAATAATATAATACAAATTCTACAATTATTTCTTTTAATAATATTGACAACAAAATAATAATAATAATAATAATTGTTATTATTATTAGTGTTATTTCATTTGTGGTTGTTGTTGTTGTGGTTTTGTTTGTTATTTGTTGTTGTTGTTTAGTGAGAGACAATAAATCAAATACTAATACATAACATGGCAATATTTCAATGTGCTGCCCCTAAGACCTTGTGTCTTAGGCCAAACTGAAAGGAACATTTATTTGTTTTAATATGTATTTTTCACATAGAAACCTGGCATATAACTCAAAGGACAGCATATTGGAAAGTGTGAAGTTTCTAAAAATCGTTATGTAAAAAAAACTAACTAGAATTTGCTTTAAAATCATGTAATTCTGCCTTAGTTACAGTAGGCAATTCTTTCTATGCGTCAGACTAGGGATGTAACGATTAACCGCATGACGGTTAATCGCGATTCATTTAGGTGGGTTTATATGAATGCATGTCTGAGGGGAACTTACTGTCTTTAGAAAAGTTTAGATGGTATTTTTTCTTTTCATCTTGCCTCTGTATAATGCATAATAAAGTTCATAAGTGTAGCGCTGCTTTGTTTACAGCGGAAACCAATGAAACGCTTTAAGCGCCACCTACTGGCAGAGAGTGAATCTGCGTCTCATTCAGCTCGTCTGCTGTTTCATGCAGATATTTTTATATATAGTTTCACAAACCATTCTGTTTTTGCTTCAAATTTCGAAATTATACAATGTAATTTAGATTTAAAAACGGCTCATGTTGCATGTATGCAGCATCTTTGTTTGGATCATGATTAACATACTGGTAAAAAAAAATGTATAACCTGAATGCACTAAGTCGCTTTGGATAAAAGCGTCTGCTAAATGCATAAATTATTATTATTAATTATTATTAAAATGCTGTGGTTACCTCTAATTTTAAATGGAAAGAGCACAGACAAAGCCTTATTTTGTTTATATGAAGAGATTTATTTGATTTGGGGCTTGTTTTAAAATTTCAAT